AAGCTTTTTTTTTTTTTTTTGGTGCCATAAAACCTATAGTCCGAAAAGTACAATTCCTATAGTTATTTCCTATAGTTACAATTACCAAATGATCATTGTTCTGGGTCTTTCCTTGGAAAATTATTAGCCACCTGTAGAAGACTCAATACCCCTAAACGAGACTCAATCCTTTAGTGCCTCCAGGGCTTGTCGGCCTCTGGACTTAGCCCTCTCATCTAACTTACCTGCCACACTGCCAGAGTGGCCTTGGCTACAGTACAGAGGTAGCTCTCACAGCTTTCCTCAGAAGCTTTAATGGCTCACCAGTACCTCCAGGGTGAAATCCCAACTCACTATGAAATTAAAAGGCTTTCTAAAGGACAGCCTTCTCCTACCTAGAAAGCTTTTATTTCCAATCACTCCCTGCCTCCGCTCTAAACGGCCTGTATCCTGCCTACCCAACCTGCCGTCAGTACCACCACTTTCCCTGCCAGCCCTACTCACCCCTCTTGTCTTTGTCTAAGCTGTACATTTCACAGGGCTCTGTCCCCTGCCCAGATCCAACTCCTTCCAGACTCCTTTGCATGGTGAAGTCTGTTTATCTCACCTCTGGGTCGTTGGGGATTTTGGCATTGGGTTTATGTGTGTGTGCTGTTTGCCCCTTTGTTGTGCAATTCATCAGTCGCCTATGCGTTAGAATTATTGTGGGTGTATCTGTTTTATGGGTCTATTCAATTAGTATTCAAGAACTACTAATTTGAGCACATATTCATACTAGATACTGGGTTACAGAGCTAAACAAAATGGGACTTGCAGGTTAATAGAAAAAAGCAAATAAGACTAGTTTTACCATATGAGGAGCCAGAGAAGGGGAAATGGCAGGGCCTGAGCAGAGCAGCACACACGCATTGTTGTCCTCATCGTTCTTCACGTGAGAGACCCTGCACAGTTCCTTGCATTTAGTGGCTGCTCCATGAAGACGGGAGACCTTAGAGAGCAAACTGGGAGAGGGATGAGGGACGTGAGGAGGGGGAGCTGGAGGAGGCTGCCCCTCAGAGGGCATGTGTTGGCAGCAGGTGGTACTGGGGACCTGGGACCCACCATCCTCCTTGAGGGCCTTCACAGAGGCCTAGCAACCATTTCTGCCCAGCTCCCCAGAAGTCAGAACTCATATGTGTAGATGGGCTCTTGGCAAAGAGCCGCCACTCAACTCTAAGGATTGGAGTTTCCTAATTCAAAACAGGAAAGGAAAGGGCGGCTATATTTGCCCTGTTTGTTGTTTTTATTAGGGGCAGGGTGAAGGGAACATGTACAGTTTGTTTCACAGTGGGGTTTTCCCCATATCTCTTAGATTTTCAGTTGGCTGATTTAAGGAGCAAATCCTTGTTGGAAAGCTACCTCCATTGCTTTGGGGAGGCCTGGGGGCTAAGTAAAGTATATACTTTATATAGCAGTATGTCTTGCTTAGTTTTAATTGGGATATTTTGAAACTCTGAACTTTGGGCTGGAACGTGCCCTTCACTTCACACTTAGAGCCTGGCTCTGGCAGGTGCATCTTTGGCTGGGCCCTTTCCAGATCACAGACTCCCACTTACCAGTGCAGGTGATGGGAAAGCAGAGCCCTGTATACTCTTTGGTCCCACATTGTTCAAAGATGGAACATTCTGGCTACTTGAGTAAGGGTCAGTTCACCTACTCAATAGGAGGGTGGTCCTATTTGGTGCACACCCTCCACCACTGAGAATACAGCTAAAGCCCTGAAAGTAAGGAGACAAGGTCTCCAAGAAGTGGCCTGGGCTCACAAAGCTCATGTGTTCCTTTAATCAGCATGTGTTAAGTGGCCACTCTGCACCAGGCACTGGGCTAACATAGTACTAAGGCAGGCTTCCAGCCCTTGAGGACTGTCTGCTGGGGAATCATAGCAGGTATTCTCTAAAGGCCTCGTACAAAAATAAGTCCCCTTTTATAAATACATCTAACAAGATGTTTTATTTGCTTTTCTAGCCTGTAGCCCATCAGCAATAGTAAATAAAGGGTATGTTGGTAGGATTAGTGACTATAGGGACAGAAATGACAGTAGCCAGGAATGGAGGAGGAAAACTAAGAACCACACAGCAGAAGTGCCGGAATTCTATAGTCTGAACAGACCAGTTGGTGAGGCCGAGACTGAGTGAATTCAGGTAGCCCCTGAGGACAGCATCGCCTAACACACTCCAGTAATTGCTATTCCTGGTAATGACTCTGAATCATTCCAGAAGTAGATGGCAGGAAGGATCCCTGTCCTTTTCTTTTCCCTCTTTCCCTCTTTTCATTTCTTCCTTTCCTTAAATGTGGTTCTATTAAGATTTCCCTCTGGGCAAGGTAACTTATGCCTGTAATCCCAGCACTTTGGGAGGCTGAGGTGAAAAGGTGAGTTAAGCCCAGGAGTTCAAGGCTGCAGTGAGCTATAATCATCCTACTACATTCCAGCCTGGGTGACAGAGGGAGACCCTGTCTTGGGAGTGGGAGGGAGATTTGCGTGTCAACCATCGTAGTGTGTCTGTTCCTTAAAACAAGTGACAGTTACCTGGGAAGTTTACTTTTGTGAAAGGGCTTAATCCTTCAGAAGGTATACCCATATCTTGTAATATTTAGTATACAAAACATAACACTAGTTTATTTAAGTTATTGCCATAAGTACAATTAGGAAGGGGCAGTTGTCAAAGGACAGAATGCAATCAACTCCTCTGAATATACTATTAGCATAATTTAGTCACTGGAAGTATTTAAACAAGATAATTGTTCTAAATTTATTTGAACATCCATTTGTGAAAGCCTTGCCATTTATGATATTCAGAGAACAATTTGATAGTATACATAGGTTATGAGGAGATGGCCCTCAGGCGCAGACAGTGAGAAGTTATGCTGCCACAGGTGGGAGGGGGGTGGGGTAAGTTGTAACTGACCATCTTGTCACACCAGCCTGTTCTAGAGGGGAAGCAGATTCATGGTGGCTCTGTTTATTTGGTGGGCAACAGCTGCTTGGGACTAGGTATTAGCGGGCCTTTCTGGGAAGACCAGAGAGTAAATATTTAGGGCCTAGGAGTCACAACCGCTGAACTCTTGCCAATATAATACAAAAGCCACCAAAGATAATATATAACCAAAAGGTGTGGCTGTGGTCCAAATAAACTCCATTGGTTTTTCAGCTTAAATAGTAATTCTGGAAGCATGGGTGACACATACAAATCTGCATGGCAGCAGGAACATCTAAAAGAATACTTACAATTGGAAGCTTTCAAAGTGTTGAGCTTCCATCAACTCTTAAATCATTGTGGGTTATCAGCTTTGTTGGTTGGTTTGGGGTAAACAGATTAGGATTTTAGAATTTACTGGGCACAGGTCAGGTCCCAGCCATCCCTAGTCTATGATTTTCTGCTTTCCTTCTGTTTGGTGCTTCAGAAGGCATACCCCTATCTTCTAATGCCTCTAGGGTGTCGGCAGCACTTAATTGCCACTGTCCTCCAGAGAGCACAGGATTGCCTTGTTGACAATTCTGGTTGATAGACCATGAAGGCTTTCACTGTGCTTGAGATGGTTATTCTGTATTGGCCTCTTGTTCCCTCGTACCGTGTACACACTGTGTGATAGTCACTGTATTTGTTGAGTTGATATTCCTTTGGACAAGTACGTGGTACACATCTGACTGCCTTTTAGCCTGTAAGGACCACTGTTCATTATTAGTCTGTGCAAGTTGTGATTCTAGAATGCCTGTCATTTTGAGTAGTAGTTACTACTCTGCCCTTTCAGCTTTATGGACACGTCCTTACTTTCCATGACTGTACTCTGTTCACTCCAGGTGTTCTTTCTTTGATGGAGGTGAGGACATCGGAGGAAAGGAAAATTGGGGGGGGGGGAAGGATAGGATAACTCAACACAACTCAGCCTGCCCTTGCCTTTCAGGGCCATAGTCTTCACACATAGCCTCAGGGCTTTTGAGTGATTTCTCCTGCCATATAGTTACTTGAGTTCTCAAAAGACTGAAGTATCGTTTGTCTGTGTCATAGTCTGTGTTATGGGAGGCTTTCCCACAGCACCTACATTTGGTAGGATGCTTGAGCCAGCACAATTTCTAAATGAGGAAACTGCTTAGTGATGCAGCAGGCCAGAGAGGTTAAGCTAAGAGAGAAGAGGAGGGGATTCTGAGCTTTCTTTGTCTTACAACACATGCCGTGGACAGATAGACTCTAGTCATCTTAGCTATTTCATTGCTGTCCCCAAAGACTTGAGTTGCAGCTGTTAGAAAGGCTGCTTTGCTCAGCACTTATTTCTGAAGGAATGGATGTCTTTCCTAGAGGGGGTGGGGAACCTGTGGCCTTTTGACGAAATTCAAATTTTACATAACAAAAAATTAACAGGGTGCAAAGGTGCAGCAGAGAAAGAGGAAGCTTTCCTTGCCACCTCTGGTACTTTAGAAAGAACAATCTTGAAATCAGAAGGCCACAGGTTCCCCACCAGAGTGGCCGGGACTGCAGTGTGGGTGCGTGCTCAGGTTGAGGAGACCGAGGCCCACAAAACCCACAGCCAGATGGTGGAAAAACCTCATTGAACTCTCCTTCTCCCTCCCTGCCTTTCAAGTCAAAACCTATCTGTTGAGGCACTATATGGAGGAGACCCGGGTTCCAGTCCTGCCTCCACGTTGGCATACAGTGTTTGCAGCTCCTGCTATGGCTGACCTTGGGCAGGACATTTACCCTTTAGAGGCTCCCTTTTCATTATCTGTCCCAAGAAGGTCTGGAACAAAGCGGTCCTGTTTCACAAAGGCTAAGTTAACTGTCAGGAGTAGGGAGGAGAACTCAAACTTTACTATACTTGATCTTAGCCAAAAGGCTGAGAAGCCTTGAAAGCTCACATTTTAAGCAGCTTTTTTGCAGGGGGTTTGCACACAGATACTCATGGCTCCCTTTGGAAAGGTAGTTTTGTCAAGTCTCCTTGATGATAAGACAATAACAAGTTTCTGGGTTCTTTCCTCTCTCTTTCAGATGCCAGTATGGACAGAATAGCTTATGATGCTTATCCCCACCCACCACTTCCGAGACATTGAGCGGAAACCAGAATACCTCCAGCCGGAGAAGTGTGTCCCACCACCCTACCCTGGTCCTGTGGGAACCATGTGGTTTATCCGTGATGGCTGTGGCATTGCCTGTGCCATTGTCACCTGGTTTCTGGTCCTCTACGCGGAGTTTGTGGTCCTCTTTGTCATGCTGATTCCATCCCGAGACTACGTGTACAGCATCATCAACGGAATTGTGTTCAACCTGCTGGCCTTCTTGGCCCTGGCTTCCCATTGCCGGGCCATGCTGACGGACCCCGTGAGTATGTCTGGGCTTGTTTTGACCAGCCCACACTCTCCTCCTCTGGCCCAGGCATGGCCACAGCCTGCATGCTCCCCCTGGACCTTAGGAATTTGGGAAACAGGAGAGCCAGGGCTGGGTGGGGAAGTGGATCCCCTTGTTTAGAGTTCTGTGAAATTCTGATTAGGGAAGAGGGGTCACCATCTGTACCACAATCTGTCTGACTTGGTCGAATGACACTGTATGTACATTGTCATGTATATTAGTTGATCTAGGGGAAACCTGGAGCTTGGTTAGAGAAGTACAGATAACCCTGGAGACTGGGGCAGACCTTCAGAGTAGAAAGCATGCTGGAGGGCGGGGTCGGAATGGGGCTTCCCAATGCAGATAGGGCTTGAACTAGGTGGATTTGAAATTAAAGCCACATCCAATTCCAGGAATCTGCACGGAAATGGTCTTCACTTTGCTTGGGGAGGTTCATCTTTTCCTGAAAAGCTGGACAAGCCTGTTTCAGGCCGCAGCAAGTGCCTCTTGGTGAATATCTGTGGGTAAAGCAGTGGTGTTCTGCTTGATGACTTAGCTAAATATACCACGCTGTGCACGTGGCTATTGAGTGTTTGTGCACCCTGGTATTAAACCCTCTGTTCCTGTTCATTCTCTTGTGCGGGAAAAACAAGAGAGTATGTTATTTGATAAAGACCTCCTGTGGCTTGTTTCAGTGCGTGGGTGTGTGTGTTTAAGTTAAAGAGGGAGAGCACTGCCAGTGGCAGTAACACTGGTCGTGTACATTTCCTTTCTGTGAGCCCCAGGGAGAGCACAGTGATGACGATGGGGTCCTGAATTCCTGTCGTGCAGGGGCTCCATTTCCTGCTGGTTCAGGTCGGGGGATTTTAATCTGTCCCAAGGGAAGGCAGCTCTCCCAGCTCAATGACACACCAGCAACTGGTCCAGACAGCACCTCTTCTCATACATGTGCCCCAGGGAGACTAAACACACTGAGGTTAGTCCTGCTTACAAGATCATGGAACAGCCATCACCTGAAGAAAATGAAGTACTAGGGTATAACTTAAGTGCCCCAAGCACAGGGTTAGTAAAAGAGTTTTCCCAGCAACGTCAATGTTACCATTCTGAAAACAAGTTAAGGACTTAGAAATTCTTCTGCTGTTCTTGCTATTGGGGATACAGAAGCATTATTTTGTTCAGTTCATGGTTTAGTGTCTCCTAAGCCCCAGGCCAGGTGCCCTCTGTTTAGAGAATATAGGTGAAGATGGTCCTGTATGATAAGGGCTGTGGCAGAAGAAAGCATGGATTGCTGGTTGAGAACAAGAGAGAGGATATTACCCACTCCAGGGAGGAGTAACTGCTTGAAGGAGGTAACGCCTAACCCAGTTCTTGTCAGAGCAGGGGACGTCGAGGACAAGAAGACAGGCAGAGGGAGTAGCGTGCACGATGACTTTGAAAGGCAGGAGTGTGGCTCCTCTGGGCAGCCAGGAGCTGTTTGGAATGGTAGGGACTGAGGAGGAGAAGGGGTTGGGATTGATGATGTACATGGGGATGCCAAAGAGGAGGGAGTTAGACGATGAGGGGCAGGCTATAGCCCCTGAGGATTTTAAACAAATTATAAACAACATTGTCATTTTATAAGGATTGCTCTGGCAGTGGTGAGGAGTGGCACTCGGAGGCAATAAGATGAGAAGCTGTGCTTATTGAGTGCCTACTCTGTGAGAGGTTCCTCTCAGGGCAACAGATATGGCTGTGAACAAGACAGACAACAGTCCCTGCCCGCTGAAGCTGGTGGGGTCAGGCGGTGAAGATGTGATTGAATGAAGTATTTCAGAAAACTGAAGAGTGCTTTACTTCATAAAACCATGTGACCTGGGTGATATGGAATGACTTTTTTAGGGTGAAGAAGGACTAGTTTAGATCAAGTGGATCAAGGTAGTCCCAGAAGGCCTCTTGCTGGGGTGGGAATCTACAGCCTTCTGATTTCAAGACTATTCTTTGTTAAGCACCAAAAGAGGCAAGAAAATCTTTCTCTTTCTCTTTCACACTCCTCTTGATAAAAGAATCTGTTTTGTAAAATTTGGATTCAGTCAAAAGACCTCACTTAAGGAAACTAGAAGGCCACTTGTGGCCTTAAGGCTGGAGGTTTGCACCCCTAATTGCAAATGAAGATCCAAGGACAGAGGAGAGAGTAGTCACAGGGAGGGTAGTCTCCCTGCAGTAGTTACTGTGCCACTTCCAGCTGGAGACAGGAATGTGCTAGCATGTTCAAGAAACAGGACAAGGGCTGGGCGTGGTGGCTCACCCCTTTATCCTAGCATTCTGGGGGGCCAAGGTGGGAGGATCACTTGAGCTCAGGAGTTCAAGACCAGCCTGAGCAAGAGCAAGACCCTGTCTTTACTAAAAATATAAAAATTAGCCAGGTATGGTGGCATGCAGCTATAGTTTTAGCTACTCAAGAGGCTGAAGCAGGAGGATCGTCTGAGCCCAGGAGTTTGAGGTTGCTGTGAGCTGTGATGCCATAGCACTCTACCCAGGGCAGCAGAGTGAGACTCCGTCTCAACCAAAAAAAAAAGAAAGGGAGAGAGGGAGGGTACAAGACCAGGTTTATCAAAAATGTGGGGAAACAGAGGCTAGAAGAGGTGGAGAGGGCCTCAGAGGCCAGATTGTGCAAGGCTTTGTAGGGCTCATGAGGTCGTTGGTTTTTATTCTAAGTGTGGTGGGAAGCCGTGAGAGAGGCAGGATGTGATCTGGTTTGCTTTGTGCTTGTGATGGAGGTTTGAAGAGTGACAAGTAGTGGTGAGAGACTAGAGGTATTGCAGGTGTCCAGACAAGATATGCTGATGGCTCCGCACAAGGTAGAATCCGTGAAGCCCAAGAGACGCTGTTGTTGGCTTTAGACTCACTTAGGCCACTAGTTCTCAAGCCTGACTGTACTGTAGACTCCCTTGGAGAGCTATTTAAAAGTACTGATGCCTGGGCCCCACCCCCCAGCATCTACTGTAATTGGCCTAAGGGAAAGAGCCTGGTATTGGGATGCATATCTCTCCCGTTCTTCCAGGCCTGAGAGCTGCTGTCAGAAAGCTGACAGAACAGAGCGTCATCACAGAGTGTGCCTTCTAGAGTCTTGGCAGGAGCAGCTGCGTGATTGCAAGTGCCTCTTATTGGGTGGGAAGGTCTGGGGAGGAATGAATTTTAGAGGCTTGTGTTCTGGCCAAAGTACCCCTGTATTACATGCAAGCAGAGATGCTAGGAGGGCAGTAGATAGCCGGTCTAGAGCTGGTGGAGGAAGTCCAGATCCGTGAGTGGAATGTAGAGGTTCTCAGTTTATAGGAGGCACGTGAAATCAGGGAACTGGATGTTGGGCAGTGGGAGAGGAGTCTTTACCCTGCCATTCTCACTGCCCTCAAGTGTATTTATTCTTTTATACACCACATGGAAGCTTACAGCCTCTCCACACACCTCCACAGTATGGCCCTTACAGTGGATATAGGAGACCAGGATTCTTGCTGTGGTATATTGCTCCATTTCCAATGCGAAATGGGTGAGAGCTCTAGACTTACCCCAAATGCAAGTTAGCTTCTCATAGGTGTATTTTGCTGGTAGCCCAGAAGAAAACTGGGCCAAAAAATGAAGAATGTGTTAAATATCATTAGTAAGGGAAGCAACTCAAAGCATGTCCTACAAATGTGGCCCCTCTCAGGATTTTCATGCCAACACCTCCCTCTCCCCACCCCCCAGCACATGATATCTTATGCAAAATCCAGGATGTAAAACAGAGAAGTGGGGCAGCAGAGGTGGGAGCTCCCAGCTCCCGTCTGAGCCCAGATGAAAAGCAGATCAGTTAGCGCTTCCTCACTAATACTGCAGGGGTCTGTCTGTAGACAGGAGTTGCTGCAAGGTTCTCAGGAGTCCCCTAATGGGATTATGTTCTGTATCTTAAGAACTTATGTTGCACATATTTTTCAGAACTTACATCCAAAGGTTTTTAACTGTGCACATTATGTATCATTTTGTTTCACTAGCATTACTAGTTTAAAAAAAAAAAAACTTTTGTAATTTCCCTGCAATAGTTACTGTGCCACTTCCAGCTTGGAAATTCTTACTCCAAATGTAAAATCAGAACACTCGCAACCACCACAGCCGTCTGTGTATAAGTAAATAACTTGGCAGCTCTTTACTCCAGTGCAGCAGTGGATGGGTCCACAGAGAACTTGAGCAGAAAAGGAAGAGAGAAATGACTGGCAAATATGTAAGCGGCCACCTTGGAGCCTATAAACAGAGGGAGGAGGACAAATGGACAGAGGAGCAGGTCTGTGGCTGGGAAAGCTGGGCGGGAGGCATTGTGGGCAGGAGTGAGTCACACTGGTGTTGCTCTCGTGATACCCTCTCCTTGCCCACTCCAAGGTTGCGTAATAGCATTAAAGGAGCTTTCTGTGTTCCTGAAACACTTCAAACATCTAGAGATCTAGAGTGGTTCCACTTGCCCCAAGGAGGCAGCTTCCTGAAGATAACCTGGCCTCTGAAACCTTTGTCTCTCTTTTCTCCCATTCCTAGTTCACCACCTTTTATTTTCCAACTACTTTTTCATTCTTATCCTTTGAATTCCTTCAGGAATCCTGAGGAGATTCCCTTTAAATTATAGATCCGGGACAATGCGTGTGTTTCTGAGAAGATGCTTACTGCCGACAGACATAGCTTGTTTCTTTTTGTCCTGGCTGCCAGGAAGCTCAAAGCCAAGAGTTACACAATCACAGCAATTGTATAAACCCTTACGATCAGCATATTTTTACCCCTCCTTTCTTTGGCCCAAATCTGAGTCATGTGTTGCTTCATGATGGCGACACATTGTAAGAAATGCATTGTTGTGTGATTTCATCACTGTGTCCATCCTTGTGCAGCACCACAGAGTGTACTTAGGCACACCCAGCTAGCCCTGCACAGCGAGGCTACGAACCAACCCAGCATGCTGCTGTGCTGAACCCTGCAGGCAGCTGTGACACAGTGCATCTAAA